CCGCTCATCGACGACCCATCGGTGCTGCGACGCAAGAACTCGTCCATGGCCATAGTGTTTCGGCGCAACGTCGGGGCGGTGCGGCTGGTTGCTGCAAGTCGCCGGCGGCAGAGCTGCAATGGAGCGCTCTCCGGGTCGTCGAAGCTCCGCCGGAGCTGCAACGAAGCATGACAGAGCTGCAATGAAGCGCGCCGGAGCTGCAGTGAAGCACCAAGGAGATCGTTGAAGCTTCATCGGAGCTGCAATGGAGCTCGGCCGGAGTTGCAATGGAGCTTCGCCGGAGCCTTTGTGCTGCGTTCGAGCTCGCCGGAGTTGCAATGGAGCTCCGCCGGAGCGTTGGTGCTGCATTGGAGCTCCGTCGGGTTGCAATGGAGCTCACCGAAAGCTGTCGATGCTTGTTTGGAGCTCCGCGGGGGCTGCGCTGAAGCTGTCACGCTCACTGCTGCCTATTTTGATCCAACGGCCCCTTGCACGCTTATCGGACGGTTGTACAGGCGAATGATTTTTCTAAGAAATCATCCGGCTGATTTGTAGCAGCCGCCATAGAAAAGACACATGAAGAATGACATGTCATCTTTAAATCTCTACTCCGAAAGTCTCAGTACGTAGGTTGTCGTTCGTTTCGTTCGTTACTGCCCACCCCATCGATCGAATAAGTAAATCCCACCGATTTATTCCTTACCTTGTTGTCTCCCTTTAATTACGCAGAGAAAAAATTCAACATGCAATTGCTCCTACCATAGTTTAGTTAATGCACGCACATCTCCCCATTAAAATTGAGACACAGTCTTCCTTGGACGCAGAACTCCCGGCATAAGAAGATGTGATCACCCTCCCGCCTCATCATATCAAAACCTAGCGCTTTGTCACTGCGTCATTGTCGATCTCGTCACACCTCACTTTCCCTTACCTATCGTCTCCCTTCATGCTTCCCAAGATCCACCTCCGCTGATGCCATGTCGTCGCGCGTCCTCAACTTTCGCCAGCATGGGCCACGCTCGGATGCTAATCATATACGACTCCCAGGCCTGCTCGTCTTCACCACATCCAACGTCACTACGGTCGGATCGTCGGCGCACATCAAGACCTTGCAGGTCTCCCGCTGGCCCGGGGAGGAGCAGCCCGATGGGGCAGCCACGTCCTTGTCATCCCGCTGGTGGCACGACAAGAGAAAGGGTATCGCGTGTGGCACAATGTACCTTGGGAGTACAAGCCCGACGACTGCGACGTAATACAGAGGATGGTGCCCCATGCATGCATCACAGCAGTACCACGTCGTCCCGCCTCATATACCTTTTCTGTGCATCTGTCGGCACCACACTGGAATATTATCCCCATACATCCAACCAGGCATCCATGATTCTAGACTTTGGATCATCGTCATGGGGACGGAGAAGCGTGTACATTGTACATCCCAGCGGCGTATATCTCTACCTTCCCATCACTTATTGAATACTTTGTTAATTTTATCCTTGTCAAAAGGTACATCTTCGTTTCAATCCGGGAAGAAGTGCACATACCACTACAAACTGATCACGCAACCACTTACGGCAATCAAATCGAGTAGTCGTTGTCTCGGACGCCGGCGCAGCGGCAAACGCAACATCTCTCACCAGAGGCGCCCGGGAGGAGCTGTGCTAGGAGAAGACCTGGCTCGTGATGCTAACTCTGGCAGAACCGCGGGAGGGAGGAAATGGGGGATGGCTGGAGGAGAAAAGGTAGAGGATTAGCCACATGACTTGGAACACAAGATGGGATCTTAAATCTTACATTCAAGGACGTCAATCGAAAGGTGCATGGAAACTCACTTTTAAGATTAGGTGCATGTGTCAGCTCTCTCATATCCGAGAGAATCAGTTTTAGTTTTCAATGGTCAAACATTTTACTGGACAACCTTTCCTTGGACAGTCCTCTTTTTGCTGGTTCTGATGATAAAGTGGAGGTACGAACAAATCTAGTTAGCCTAGAAAACACTACTACTAAGTTTGTGTAATTTGATGTTATAGATGGATTAATTATTTCAGATAGTTAATTTGTAGGAGAAGAGTAAATACAGTTTCTTGAACTAATAATTATTAAATAATTGGAAAAGACTTGTTGGGCAATCTAATCATTTTTAATACAATTCTTTGCAACTTGCTTATTTATATTTGAACAATAGGCTTTCGTAAACTATTAATTATTGATAACTTGTTGGTCGGGCATGTCCCTTGCTTAAGAAGATTGTCTGTTCACGGAGTCTTATGTCTCACAACGCAAGCGCCAACACTAACGCTAGGGTTGATATCTTGTTAGTTTTTCACGTTCTCCATCCAAGCCTGGGATTTTGTGTTGTGTATGCAAAAGTAATCACCGGCGCTTCATAGGCCTTTTTTGCATAAGCCGATTTGATTAGAGTCTGACGCTAACAAGAGCACTAAAAACTAGGCCTACGAAGATTTCCCTCAACTAACTAGCAGATCTAGATGAGATTTACCCATCTTAATAAGTGAAGCCCCCAAGTTTTCTCTCCTAAAGGGTACATATGAGCATGCAAACTAATATGAGAATCAAATGGACACATAGGCCACTTTATTTTGGTAGTGTAATGCCTGATGTGCATCCATCATCTCTATTCTTAAAGTCTCAGTACGTAGGTTGTCGCTCGTTTCGTTCGTTACTGCCCACCCCATCGATCAAATAGGTAAGTCCCACCGATTTATTACTTACCTTGTTGTCTCCCTTTAATTACGCAGAGAGAATAAATTAGCATGCAATCGCTCTTACCATAGTTTTAGTTAACACACGCACATCTCCCCCCATTAAAATTGGGACACAATCCTTTCTTCCCTGGACGCAGAACTCCTGACAGAAGAAGATACGATCACCCTCCCGCCTTTTCACATCAAAACCTGGCACTTGGCCACTGCGTCGTTGCCGATCTTGCCACACCTCGCTTTCCCTTACCTATCGTCTCCCTTCATGCCTCCCAAGATCTACCTCCACTGATGCCATGTCGTCGCGCGTCGTCAACTTTCGCCAGCACGGGCCACGCTCGGATGCTAATCATATACGACTCCCAGGCATGCTCGTCTCCACCACGTCCAACATCACAGCGGTCGGGTCGTCGGCGCACATCACGACCTTGCAGGTCTCCCACTGGCCCGGGGAGGAGCAGCCCGATGGGGCAGCCACGTCCTTGTCATCCCGCCGGTGGCACGACAAGAGAAAGGGCATCGCGTGTGGCACAATGTACCTTGGGAGTACAAGCCCGACGACTGCGATGTAGTACAGAGGATGGTGCCCCATGCATGCATCACAACAATACCACGTCGTCCCGCCTCATATTCCTTTCCTGTGCATCTGTCGGCACCTCACTAGAATATCATCCCCATACATCAAACTAGGCATCCATGATTCCAGACTTTGGATCATTGTCATGGGGACGGAGAAGCGCGTACATGTATATCCCAGCAATGTATATTTTTACCTTCCCATCACTTATTGAAGATTTTCTTAATTTTATCCTTGTCAAAAGGTGCATCTCCATTTCAATCCGGGAAGAAGTGCACATACCACTTCAAACAGGTCATGCAACCACTTGCGGCAATCAAGTCGAGTAGTTTTTGCTCGGACACCGGCGCAACGGCAGCCGCAACATCTCTCACCAGAGGCGCCCAGGAGGAGCTATGCTGGGAGGAGACCTAGCTCGTGGATGCCAACTCTGGCAGAACCGCGGGAGGAAGGAAATGGAGGATGGCTGGAGGAGAAGAGGTAGAGGTTTAGCCACATGACTTGGAACACAAGATGGGATCTTAAATCTTACATTCAAGGACATCAATCGAAAGGTGCATGAAAACCCACTTTTTAGATTAGGTGCATGTGTCAACTCTCTCATATCTGAGAGAATCGATTTTAGTTTTCAATCGTCCAACAGTTTTTTGGACAACCTTTCCTTGGACAGTGCTTTTTTTGCTGGTTCTGATGATAAAGTGGAGGTACGAACAAACCCAATTAACCTAGAAAACACTGCTACTAAGTTCATGTAATTTGATGTTATAGATGGATTAATTATTTCAGATAGTTAATTTTGTAGGAGAAGAGAAAGTACAATTTCTTGAACTAATAATTATAAAACAACTGGAAAACACTTGTTGGGCAATCTAATCGTTTTTAATACAATTCTTTGCAACTTGCTTATTTAGATTTGAACAATAGGTTTTCGTAAACTGTTAATTATTGATAGCTCGTTGGTCGGGCATGTCCCTTGCTTAAGAAGATTGTCTGTTCATGGAGTCTTAGGGCTCACAACGCAAGCGCCAACA